CTTCTTTTGGATTAACTAACAATATTCATATTCTATTTTTAACTTGGTTCTCCACATTTGGTTTGTAGGTTAAATACCTTTCACTATAGTGCCTACCATAAATATTGCAAATATTTACCTTATTTATCAAAGTCCAAAGTTAAAATTTTTATTCTTCTCTGAAATAATTATAGGAACTTAGAAGATTTTAATTCCAAATTCTCCTCATCTTATTTTATGCTATTGTTTTGTGGATTCCAACTGTACTTTTATTTTGATTACTTAACAATATATTAATATTGGTACATGCAATCATTGTTTAAATTTTCCCCATGTTTACTTTTGCTGCATTTAATCCTTCTTACACCTCACATTCCTTCTGAACAAAGTATGTCTTTAAAAATTTCTTTTTGTGAGGATTTACTGGTGGCAAAGTTTCTCAGTTTTTGTCTGAAAATGTCTTGATTCATTAAATTTTTTTTGCAAAACACACAATCCTAAACTGATATTTATTTTTTCTCAACTCAGTGACATTTCTATTTCTCTGCGGGCTCCCACTGATGCTGTTGTGAAGTTAGCTGTAAGTTGCCTGCATTTTTGAAGATGTTAAAGCGTATTTTAATTTTTCTTTATGTGCAGTTTAGCTACAATGTGTGTAGTGTGGGCTTTTTTCATTCATCCTTGGTATTCGCTGGGTTTCTTGACTCTGTGGATTAATGTCTTTCAAGTCTGGAAAATTTTCAGCTATCAATCATCTTCTTCTTGCTTCCCTTTCCCTTTCTGAAATTCTAGTTAGATGTATGTTAGACTTCCCCACTTTATCTCCATGTCTCTTAACTCATTTGCTACTTTCCATTCCTGTCTCTCTAGGCTGCATTCTAGATAATTTCTTAAATTAGTCTTTCCAATTCATTAATTCTTTCTCAGCTATGTCTAACGTGCTGTTATGCCTGCCCATGGAAATTATAATTTCTATTATTCCCAGAAGTTTATATTCTTTTATATAATAAAAGAATATTCTTTTATTCCTAGAAGTTCTGTTTAACACTTCTCTAAGTTTTTTTTTTTTGCTCTTTATCACATGTCCAATCCTCTCTTTTATTTCCAGAAATTAAAGTAAGGGCTCTGATTTTATATTCTAGGCTTGATAACTCCAGTTTCTGAATGAGTCTGACTCTCTGCTGTCCTGTTTGTTCTTGTTGTTGCTCACAGTCTCGTTTCCTTTTTGTAAGGGTTTCTTTTCTCATTCTAAGTTGTTCATTTCCCTTGGTGCTCTATTTCTATTATTATTCATTCCTCTCCATTGTCTTTTTCTGGAAATTAGATGGATTTTCGCCGTGCCACCTTGACTAGCTGTATATCTTCAATCCCTTTAATATTTTCCATCTGTGTTTTGCTTTATATTCAGAAAAAAGAGTTTTCAACTTTATATTCAAGGTTCCAGACTTCACCTATTACCATCCCTATTGTTTTTTATTTTGTCAATCGTATTTTTAATTCTCAAATGTTCATTTGTTCTGTAATTACCTCTTTTTCATATCAATCTGTTCTGTTTTTATTTAACACAATTAATTTCAAATCTTTCTAAGGACTGTAATTATGCTTGAAACTTTTTTCTCCTTTTCCTTGAATTAGATTTTCTAGATTTCCTTTGGGGCTAGTCTTTCTTTTCGGTGCTCACTGATTATATATTCGTATTTTAAAATAAATTGGTTAACAAAGGTAGTTGGCATGGCTCTCCTGTATCAGTATACCGATCCATTTTTCTAACATATCTATTCCTTGGAGGGAAGAGCTGATATACGGACCTTTGTAAGTGGGCAGGGTAAGTTGACTTGAAGGATTCATGTAGGGCTCAAGAGAAGAGAAACCTCCAGGCAAGCTGCAAGCCCAAACCCTTCCTTTACTCACTCCTCCAAGAAAAATATAAAGTGCTGTACCTTAGGTGTGTAGGATTTTTGTGTATTTCCCGCAAGAAACAGCTGACTCTTCTGCCATTACCCTATGTCATCTATTTTTAAGGCCTGGTATTATCTTAGAATCTGTTCTGTTTCTGAGAAAAAAATTACGCTGAAAGCTCTGTGTGGGAATCTGCAAGGATGGAGGTGGAGGGGTAATGGTTGAAGAATGGCCAGGTGTTTCCATCACTGCAAGCAATTTGCACTTGTTCTCTCTCGGGGTCCAGTGGAAATGTGGTCTTTCCTGGGGCTCCTGGGGGCATTCCCACCACCTCTAAAGCTTGTTCCTGTTTGTCTCATCTTTATTCCTTTGCTGTGTCATGACTTTCCCTGTTGAAGATTATTTTTCAGTAGGGTCTTATTACTTTTGGCTTTCCAGAAACACAGCTAAATTTCTGGTTTGCTGATGACACTTCTTCCCGGTTTCGGTGCTACTTTGGATTTATTTCCATTTCTACAGCTTCATGGCTGTTAGGTGGGAATTTTGAAGGGAGAGGAAGAACTGCTTAAGCGCAGTCTCTCAACTGAACGGGATGTTCTCATAATTTTAAAAAATGTAGACATAAATCATCCATGTAAACATTCAAGCATCTCAATGCTTAATAAGCTTCCATTTTATAATATCAAGTTCGACTGATCAGTAATTCAGCAAACAATCTCGTTTAAAAGATTTGTATTGAAAGTCATTTTCTGTTTATACAATATTTTCTTTAGTATCTATATAATACAGTCTTTCTCACTTCAAAGAGAATAAAATCACTGGCCTAAAATAATGAGAGTTAGTAATCAATCCACACATATATTTGGTTTTTGGTTTCTCTGAAGTTCTGTATTTCTCTATTTCCTACACGTTTACTGGAATCATGACTCCAAACCAAATACAAAAACAGCATGGGAAATGCTGGTGGGGTCAGCTCTCCTCAAGTTTCAGATGTGCTGTAAATTGCAGAGAATGCTCAGATTTTTAATAGGAATATTATTTTTATATACACATGCTGGGGTGTTGGAGAAAGATTTATTTAAAAATAAAAAAGGCCAGGCATGGTGGCTCACACCTATAATCTCAGCACTTTGGGAGGTTAAGGCAAAAGGATCACTTGAACCCAGGAGTTCAAGACCAGCCTGTGCAACATAGTTTAATGCTGCCTCTAAGACAAAATTTAAAAAGTGGTATGTTCCTATAGTCCTGGCTACTTGGGAAGCTAAGGTGGAGGGACTTCTTGAGACCAGGAATTCAAGGTTACAGTGAGCTATAATTGTGCCACTGTACTCTCTAGCCTGGGCAACAGAGAAAGACCTTGTCTCAAGAAAATGAAAAGAGAAAAAAAAAGTCCCCTTACTCCTAGAAAATAAAAAGCTAATCAAAAACTTTTCCTGGACAATGAAATGCTAGAGAGTTTTGTACCACACAGGGATAGTGCCATATCATGTCCTGTAGAAGAAGGGTCCGTTTTTACATAATTTAAATTGCAGTGAATATTATAGCATGCCATAAAAATATGCCGAATATACACAGAAATCACAGCAGAGAGTTATCGGACAAGAATTCAATCTCATGGTGAAGTGACAGCAGCAGCTTTCTGGGAATCAACATAGTGGAATAAAAAGCTGTGTCTTTGGGGCAGAGATCTCTGAATTCAAATTCTATCTGTCATTTTTCTTAGCAAGGCGACTAAAAATGACTCGTTATTGGCCTCAGAATCTCATCTTCTTCATGTGTAAAATTGAGATCCTAATACCTTGCTCATGCAGCTATTGTGAAGATTAAGTGAAATACCATAAGTCAGGAGGCTAGCACAGAACAGACACTCAACAAGAATTTCCTTTGCTCTTCTGTCTGTCAAAAATGCCAAGCTGGGAGAAGGTGCATTCATTCATCTATGAGATCTTCCCTTCCCTCTGAACATTTAAATTCAATAGTGAGACACAGCGAGGAAAGCAATGGCAACTCTTCAAGACATTCTAGTCTGCGGTGTGTGATGCTGACGCCTGTATACCACCACACGGACTTAACCAAGCACGTCTTCTGATCACTTTTCTTATGACTAAATTCATCATTTTCTTCAGATTTCATGTCTCTTGGCATTTTGCCTCATCACTGGTGCCTGTACCCACAGCAAATCCCAACAGAGGGTGGGAAAATTAAGTGATATTTCCCCTACACCACTGTGCTATCCACCAGCCTTTCTCTAGCTGTGCCTGAAAATTCTGCTGCTTCCCGATGCATTTGCCTGGACATCTTTTCTGTCCACTCCATTTGCCTCGCAGTTGCCCAGTGGTTGAGCCACAGTTCCACAGACAGATCTACAGCTCAGAGGATGCTCAGTCTTCAAATGCAGCTTTGTACTTGGCAAGGGGTGCTCTTAGCTTGCTGGCTGGTCGTGAAACTAACACAACCCAGTCTTTGTGAGTGTGCTTTTAGGACATGAATGGGGTAGTTTATGCATTTTTAACGCTCAAGACAACATTAATACCAATTAGCAGTGCCAAAGAAGAGAACTAAAACACTACTTCATGGAATGATAACATCCTCTCTTTGACAAAAAAGCCCATGCGTTTTATGAGCTACCAATTCAATAAGGAAACTGCTTCTTAGATAGTTGAGTCTCTATTTCTGGAAGAGGGCATGGTACTCATACCCAGCCAGTTGTGACTTTTTTTTCATGGATTCTAAGGTCATTTATCTTAAGGTCTACTGATTGGTTTTCTTTGCTCACTCATTTTCCTTTAATTTAGGCAACGAATTATGTGCCTTTTAATTTTTTTTTCCCTCCATATATACTAGAAACAACTACAATAAAGCATGATGCTTCTTTCTCTTAGGATGGCTTTGAAATTCACCATTTTCTGTTTTGGCCCTCCTTTCCTTGAATATGCACACTCAAGGTCATCATAAATCTTATCATTCATTTGGGCAGCACTTGAACAAATGGCCCCTTTCCCAATTTTTTAGTAAAATTCTTTTAAATCTACTGTCTACTGCGTGCTCAACCTCCCTCCCCTTCTGCCCTCCACCCCCACCACCTGCTCCCCATATGAAACCTTGAGTGAAGTCTTTCTTACTTGGATTATTGTGTCCAGAGGATACAAGCTGAGAGTCCTGAAAGAACAAGAAATAGCAATTAATTTTCTTATTTTGGCTTTCAAAACCCAAGTTAAACATGAGATCTATTACTGGTCATTCAGAACCAATTCATTGCTCTTAATATCTACCAGCTACTTTAAGGAGAAACATATACATGAAAGTGTACATGTACATGTTAAACAGTTCTGGGAATACACTTCACAATCATTTTTATTTTCTATTAACGACTTTTTGTTTTGTTTATTGAGGTGAAGTTCACGTAACATAAAATTAACCATTTTAAAGTGAACAATTCAGTGGCATTTAGTACATTCATAAGGTTGTACAACCACTACCTCTATCTAGTTACAAAATACTTCCATCACTCTTAAGTAAAATCCCTTCCATTAAGCAGGGTCTCCCCATATCCCTCATGGCCCAGCCCCTTACAACCACCAATTTCCATCTGTCTTTTGGATTTATCTATTCTGGATATTTTATATAAATGGAATCATACAAGATGTGATCTTTGTGATTGGCTTCTTATACTCAACATAACGCTTTTGAGGTTCATCCATCCTGTAGCATGTATCAGCACCTCATTCCTTTTTATGGCTGAATAATATTGTATCGCATGGATATACAACAATGTGTTTGTCCATTCATCTGTTAATGAGTATTTGGGCTGTTTCTACCTTTTGGATACTGTGAATAGTACTGCTATGAAATGTGTGTATGTACCCTTGTTCAAATCCATGTTTTCAATCCTTTTGTGTATATACTTAGAGCAGAATTTCTGGGTTATATAATAACTTTATGTTAAACTTTTCAAGGAATTGCCAAACCATTTTCCACAGCAGTGAAATCATTTTTCAGTCCAACAATGTACGAGGTTCCAATTTATCTACATCCTTGCCAATGCTTATTATTTTCCATTAACAAAATTATAGCTATCCTTGTGGGTATGAAGTGGTGTCTCACTGTAGTTTTGATTTGTATTTCCCTAACAACAAATGATGTTGAGCACCTTTTCATGGGTTTGTTGGCCATCTGTACATCTTTAGAGGAATATTTATTCAAGTCCTTTGCCATTTTTTAATTGGTTTGTCTTTTTATTTTTGAGTTGAAAGAGTTCTTGATATAGTTTAGATATTAAACTGTTACCCAATTTATGATTTGCAAGCATTTTCTCCCATCCTGTCAATTGTCTTTTCATTTTATCAATGTTTTTTGATACACAAAATTCTAAATTTTCTAAATTTAAAATTCTAAATAAACTTTAATTTACCTAATTTTTCTTTTGTTGCTCATGCTTTTGGTGTCATAGCTAAGAATCCATTGCCAAATTCAAGGCCATGAAGATTTAAACCTATGTTTTCCTCCATGATACCTGTAGTTTGGGTTCTTATATTTAAGACACTGACCTGTTGACTTTTAATCTAACTAATTTATCTTTGAATAAACCTTTACTTCAACCCACTTCCTATAGATGGGTTTGGCACCAGAAACACTCTATTAAACAACTGTTGTCAATCTCACAATGGTGGATAAAAAGATTACCACAGTATCTACTTATCTGCAATGGAATAAAGCCAGTACTACACAGTATTTTAAGTTTGCTCAGGTAAATAGAGATTGAATTTAATTTTACATTAAATTTAAGTTTGCATTAAAACAAAATATGAAATTATTTTGAGGATTTACATCCTCTTTCCTTGAAAAATTCTCATTTAATAGAAAATAAACAAAATACCATATTGTTCTTATAAGTAGGAGTTAAGCTATGGGTATGCACAGGCACACAGTAATATAGTGAACTATGGAGATCCAGAAGTGCGAGGACAGGAGTAGGACACGGGATAGAAAACTACATACTGGGTACAATGTACACGCCTCCCATGATGGGCACAGTAAACTCTCAAACTTCACCACTATACAATTTATCCATGTAACCAAAAACCAGTGGTAACCCAAAAGATATTAAAGTAAAAAAAATTAAAAATATGAGAGACTTATAAAAGAATGAGTGAACTGAGATGGTAGGAATGTAAACAAAGAATAAGTAGCAGGACATAAAATCCAGTAAAACTCCTTTAAAATTCCAGCACATAAAACAAAAATCCAGTGAAACTGAATTAACTTCCGTTATATAGCTTAACATATTTTACCAGAATTTGGCTCCATAATTGTAGGTTGTTAGGAGGTAAGGTATGTCATTTGATGTGACTTACGTTACACTCAAATCCAAGTACTAATGTCTGTTTCAAAAGGAAATTCTACTGAAACAGTATAAAATGAGCCAGTCTGGCAGGCAGAGGTTGGGTGGGAAAATTGAGAGGGTAAGGGATTCCCACTCTATTAAACAGCCTGAGTCATATGCAGATGCCTAATAAACCTCTTTCAATTATGGTAATAATGAGCTATTCATCTGAAGAAAAAGAACAAGCTCAACTCTCACCCTGAGATTCCATTTTTGGAAATGATTATATGAAGATGAAATATTGTTCCTGAAATGATGGACTAAAATATCATCTGTAAAAATGATTTTGGCCTATTTTGGATAGACGCTGTTACTCAGAAGGCATACACAATTAAATCTCCCAAGTAGATTGGTATGTTTTCCTTCTCTTCTAGGGAATTTAAGAGTTTATATCTGTACATAAATTAGTTTTAGCTTTGGCATGTGAAAAAAACTTTGAGTCCCATTTAGTTAACTCCTCTGTGCTATCTGCAGATCTGGGCCATTTGGAGGCATCTGTACTAGGGAGGGGAAATACACACCAACAAATGGACAAGAATGGTAACTGACATAGTTTCCAGCATTAAGCTCATTAAAAAAAAAAAACAAACAGAATTTTTTCTAAGACTGTTAACACAAATGGGAAATCAAATTATTTTATTTATTTATTTATTTATGAGACAGAGTTTTGCTCTTGTTGCCCAGTCTGGAGTGCAAGGCATGATCACAGCTCACTGCAACTTCTGCCTTCTAACTTCAAGCAATTCTCCTGTCTTAGCCTCCTGAGAGTAGCTAGGATTACAGGCCCCAGCAACCAGGTCCCGCTAATTTTTTGTATTTTTAGTAGACACAGGGTTTCGCCATGTTGGCCAGGCTGGTCTCAAACTCCTGACCTCAGGTGATCCACCTGCTTTGGCCTCCCAAAGTGTTGGGATTATAGGCGTGAGCCACTGCACTTGGCTTATTTTATTTATTTTTTAGAGACAGGATCTTATTCTGTTACCCAGTCTGGAGTGCAGTAGCATGATCATGGCTCACTGCAGCCTCAAACTCCTAGGCTCAAGTGATCCTCCTGCCTTCGTAGCTGGTACTACAGGCATGTGCAACCATGCCCAGCTAAAATTTTTAATTTCTTGGTGTGTCCTAAAACCCAGAGGATGATTGTTGATCACAGACTCTTCAGCAGAGAATGTAAGATGAACTTACAGATGACCCGAATTAGGATTACACACCATAAAATCATGTATCTCATAGATAGTAAACTTTAAATTTTAACTAAAACACTTGTGTAATTAACCACTATTTTTGTTTTTTGTGGTAGGGAGTGAAGAGAGACTGAAAATGGTTGAAGAAATTGGTATAAAAAACATAGCAAAACAAAACAAATCTCTGTGGAAGTCTTCTGCAGGAGAGGCAAGAATAAAATCAAAGACTTTGTCCCTAATATATAATCTCATGTTGCTAGCTGAGGTTTTCTTGGTGGTACACTGAAACAACAAATGTTAGCTCAAAAGTAATTGACTCTCACCCCAGTGTTCTAAACTGTGCCACTCTGTGGGTACAAATAATGTCCCATTATCATTCTTACTGGCATTTGGTCAGCCTGCTTGTGGAGGAGTCAGCTACCTTACCGGACCACTCCCAGGTTTTAGGTCCTCTTATCAGATACCCTGATAAGGTGTCTGTTGGCAAACCTCAGGTCCTGGGGCTGCTGCTTCTGAAGGAGCACTGTTCTGTCCAGCAGCTGCAAAACCCCAGGGGCCCCACAGACTATGCAGGACATTCTTCATGGATCCAGAGCGAGGCTGGGTTCAGAACACAGGGAGACCAAAGCTCCTTTCTCCAAAGGGAATACACACTGAAGCCCTTTCCATTTTTGTGTCTCCTGCCACCCCACGCAGATACCCACATATGTGTAGCTTCCGTCTCACAGGTCTTCTCTCCCCTTGCAAATGTCTTCTGTAGGTAGATTCCTGGGGAAGTCCACCCCTTCTGTGCACTGGCTTTGTCCTCTGGGAGCACTCTACCAGGCCTGCAAGATTCTCTATTAGACTTTTTAAGGGTCACAGAAGTGAGTCCAGCAAGTTAAGATTGGAGGTGACATCTGTACAAATCATTAGAACCCAGGGTTGAAAGTGATGTGACTGCCACCCCCAACACTGCCAGCTGTGTATTGTGTTCTGATCCCCTCCCCCTGAAATGCTCCATCCTGCTGCTTTCTGTTTTCTGCTAGCAAACTTCATTCTTCCTTCGAGGCTCTGCACAGGTAAGCTCAAGGGTTACCCTGCTTTTTGAAATCTTCTTGACTCTAATGTTTTTGCTGCACTGTATCACACTTCCATTACTATAATTATTTTTTCAACACTGACTTTAAAAAAAAAAGTGTAAGTGACATAACACAAACTGCACATATGTAAAATACACAATTTGATAGCAAGTCTCACATGAGGAAGGCTACTATTATTACCTTCTTGACCCAAGGATGGCTCTGTAACACCTATTCATTAAAGAAAAATTAGCAAAACAGGAAAGTGTAAAAAAGTTGTCTGTCACCCCATATCAGGACATTTTCAATGTTAATCTGCTGCTTTCGATTTATTAGCATTGTTCAACAAATGTGTGTTATTCTGGAGGTCAGGTGCATAGAGGGAAAGCCACTCCCTGATACCTGGAAGAATACCTACACATGGGAATTAATTCTCCATCTTTAAATCCTAAAGTCCCAAAACCGAAGCTATTTTTTGGTACATGGGAATCCTAAAACTCCTTTAAATACGGTATTTAGCTGTGAAGAAAA